AGATGTGGGCCAATCATTTAGCGCGAATGGTGGATGGTAGGATGGTGCTGACTGGCTGCCTTCTCTCTGGTCAGTAGTTCGAAATTAGGGACTACAACAGGTAGCCTTAGTAACTTTGCTATAAATACAAGACACAAATACAATTGGTTTAATTATTTTGGCTTGTTTTGAATTTCTAGAAAAGCTACACGATGGCTATCTGTGCTAGCCGTCCCTAATATAGCAGTGAAAGACTAGAGGGAAGGCAGGTAGTCATCACTACCCACAGCCAACTCTTGGGTTACTTTTTTATCAACGAATAGTGGGATTGACTGTCACATTATAACGCACCAACGGGTGAAAGGGTGAGCATGTTTAGTGGGACGGGGCTTAATTTAGTTATAAACGCGTTCAAAATAATATAGTTTTTAATTTTGTGAGGTAGGATTTTTCAATTCTGACTCTTCCAAACGATGGTGAGTCATATTAACATAATATCTAATTCAAAATAACTACATTGTTACCTTTGACTGTTTAAAAAAACTAAAATTTTTAGTGAACTTAAATGTTTTAAGACTGTATAATATATTATTCTATAGAAAAATTATATCGACCATTTTTGAAATAATATAATTAAAAACTACTTAGATCTAAGCTGCAATTATCTTTAGTCCAAACTCGTAAAGGCTTTAAATTTATAGCAGATTCACAAATAAACCAAATATAAAAAGAATAACCCAATTTAAAAGAAGCAACAGAAGAACCATGATATCGGAATGAAACCTTTTTTTTCTTTACAGTTCATAACAATAAAATATATGTATCACGCTAAAAAGGTGTTAGAGTGATGTTGTTTTTTATATTTAACTTCTGAAACTTTTCTAGACGGACTTTAACATCAAACCTCATTATTTTGAAATTCAAATATAATAAGTCTAGAATTAACAACTTCTATCTTTAATTTTTCGAGTACTCGTTGAAAAGAATATGAAAAAACCTTAGAATTGAATAATTTTCTTAAAAATTCAACATTATATACAAATTGCCTTCATCTTTAAACAATATTGACCACCAAATCTTTCTTTAACAGTAAATCTTAATAACATATTTAGATTTTAATTTATTTTTCCCACCATTTATCAAGTCATAGATCTAATGTTTAGTTTTAATTACAATTAGAGTTACTGTGAGTTGAAATGAAGTACAAGTACAGAATTAACATTGGATGAATATAACATTGATCTAATGTTAGAGTGAGCTTAACACAAGACTTGTCTCAGAGTTAAACCAACTGGACTCTAGCTATGTGCAACATTTGTTTTTGAGTCCAAAAGGCCGCTTATGACCAATGGGGTACCTTAAATGCTGATGAATCATCGGTGATTCTCCAGCAGATTTAGCTGGTAGCGCCCATCTCCGCTCCAGGTAGCTGACCCTAATTTAGCAGTGAAAGAGTAGGGGAAGCAGCTAGTCAACACCACCTACTACAAACTATTTCGCCTACTCTTTACCTTTAAGAAGCTCACAAAAACCAACCTTTTGAAGTTAGTATTACAATATAAACGTTGCTATGCAACAGATAATATTCCTCATATATGAACAGATGCCTTTATCAAATCACTCACATTTTAAAAGGCATTGAATCATCGTCCTACAAAACATTATTGGAAATTTCACAAAGAAGGATTTAGCTAAAATATTTGTCTATAAAACTGAACTACCGCTACCCACATCGTAAGAGAAATGTTGGATAAATGCTGTCTAATTTGCAGCTGGTACACAGGAAGATTTTGAAGCTGGTCAGAACATCTTGGCAATAGCTTTAGATTTTGAAGATGTCTACAATACAGTCAGTTACCCATTCTTACTGACAAAATACTCTGTACAAACAACGGTATAACAATGTATAAGATAGCTCATATATACACTGTGTAAAATGAGTAAGATTGATAACATCTGCACCAACTATCAGAAGATGCATCCTGAAGCTTGGAAACTGGTAATCAGATTAAATTAATATCAGTATCAATGTGCCCCAAGGATCATCACTCTCACCTGTTCTCTTCAACATCTAAACCACGAATACAGCCCATTTTGACAGTTAAATACCAAGTGCTAATCTCTGCTTAAGCTCTTAAAAAACTTAACAGAAACCAAAATGCAAACATCTCTTAGCAGGGTGAGCAAGTGGTGTAATAACACAGAAACAGCCATCAATCCTTCAAAAGCACAGTCATGTTCTGCACATTCAGAAACAGACATGCTGATGAGGACAAACCATTATCATTTCTTTTGCGTGCACTGCCATTTCTATGAAAAAAACAAACAAACAAAAAACAACAACATAAACACTGAAGTTTTGTTTGTTTTAACTTAAAGCTACATAAAAGGCTACCTGTGTTTTATCCACCATGAAGAATCGAATCCCGGATTTTATTATTGGAACACCCTGAAATACCTGAGCGTAACTTTTTACAGATAGCTAAATTTCATTATGATAATCAGAGTTACCAAAGGCATTAATGTAACGAGAGTTGCAGGAGAAAATAGAGATGAAGGATGTCACTTCCTTGTGCTTTTACAAAGTTTTCAGTTCAGTTCTTTATTAGTTACTTAATGAAGGTACATATGAGTGCTGTGCAGCTAGATAAGATTGAAAAGATACAAAATACCTGTTTAAGACTAGTCACAGAGATATATCAGCCAACCTCATCAAGGCCCTATTACACTTAAAAAGCCTCAGCAGCATCATAGAGCACCATCAGTGCTTAAATGCAATTTTTTTTTTACTGGGGCTAGGGCCTTGCAGTAAAAAAAAAGACCATGCATTACATCAACAAGCCACTACTATTTTCAATCAGAATATTCTTCCTCCACAATGACCCCACACACATCAACAAAGCAAAAAACTGCATAACAGGTACCTCAGTCATGGGTAAATAGGCACCATATAGCTACTAACACGATAATTGGTTACCACCTGATGTCAGGTACTCCCATGTTGGATAAACGTTTATCTGGTGCCACTGGAATTTGTAGTAATTATTACGAACAGAAAAGGTAGATGCTGGGCAACACCCCTTTAAAAACGATGATGAACATGTGCAATCACTCAGTATTATGGCTATGGATGGTTTCTACATTACAGAAAGTGAGAGAACGGGATGGGCATTTATCATCTTGCAGAGCAACAACATCCTGCATAAGGCTGTTGGAGCATTCAGAATTCCTACAAGCAGCACATGGATGGAGCTGGAATCCATAAAGTAAGTTTTCTTCTGGATTCTTGATAACAATGAATTGAAACAGACAGTGCCACCAATATTATATTTGTGACTTATTAGCAAACAGTACTGCTTAAAATAATGTGTGTATGATCCCCAGGTGGATAGCAGAAAGCAAAGCAAGTATGTGGTAAAGCCATCACCGGGGTATATGTGCTAGGCCATGCATGATTAAAGCTAAAGGGAAAAGTTGACCAGATCGCACAAGAAGCTCCTATATTAAATCTATTATAATTCTATTTGCAGGACATTGACTTCCTCTGCATAAGCTCATGTCCTTTAATAATTAAACAAGTTCAAACAGGATGCAACCATGACGAATCACAAATAGCATAACTAACTGGTACAAACTACTTCCAGCCAGTTTTTTAATGCTGATGTAAAGGTCCTCTCTGACACATTCGATGTTGATATACAATAAATCAAAAAGAACTCTCCATGATTCTCGAAATAGTTTAATTTAAAGTCATATGCCATGTCAAATTCTTGTTTTTGACTAAGTTATTCAGTAATTATTAAAATTGATATCAGCTCAAAAATGGTGGTCAAGGAAGTACAAAAGGAAACCACCTGACTTGGAGGAAACGCAGTTTTCTGTTCCGTTAGTGTTATTTGAATTCAAGCTAGTTTCACTCTAACGTACACAAAAATGTGCGGTACTTACGTTGAAAGTAAATGTTTTAAGGTCCAATTTTGCTATGTTCTTTTTCTGTATTCAAGAGTACTGGCTAATTGAAAAGATTGATTGATGAGAAGATACATAAACCAAATCTAATTCGGATCTGTTGTACTGCTGTAGGAACTAAGTATAGCTGACGGAAAGGGATTGATACCAAACGATTAAAGGGCAATCTTAATTTATTGAGGTAAAAGGGTTGTATGATTATCCCATATAATTGTTTAGAATGCCCTTAGAGATAACATGATGAAATATATTAGACATATTGGATGAAATCAAAATGATCACGTGTATCTCGTGAGTGATTTATAGATTATTGTATGAAATAATCATATACTAAAAGTAATTGGTTATTCCTGCACTATGAATATAAATATTTGTCACACTACTTAAGGTACTGTTAAGTAAAATATTTTATAAGTAATTAGAAACTGCTGTAACAGCTTATGAATATAATAACTTATAAATAACTTGAACTGTCAGCACTCATAAATGTCAGGAAAGTGATTCATATCTTTCTTTCTGTTTGGTCATTTGAAGTGGGTCTTCGCAAAAAATCAGTGACAGTAAAAGGCATAGAAAAGTGATGCATGGAATGGAAGAAAAAGAATAAACCTGCCAAAGTCCAAAGCACAAAGCCACTGAGCATTGCTGTCTCTATATACTGTGGGTGGTATTAAATCCTACTCCTATATAGTACATATTTCAATACTGCAATAAAAGTCTTAAATTTTGCTACAGTTTTAATTACGAATTCGACAAAGGCTGTTTAATTCATCTGTAACATTATCCCCCCGGGTGTTAATTTCTGTAAATCACTTTTATGCTCCTCGATTCTTAGAATACAGATCAACAGCTAATGTGGAGTCGAAGACGTTGTAAGTATTACTTGTTCTGATCTTATAACTTTTACTTTACGAGATGTCGATGTTTGGACGTCCCGTGGGAATAAAGCAGTTATATATTCAACAAGAGCTAGATAAATCATAGTGTCGACAAGTACTTCCTTCTCAATCTTCAATAAGGATGTTTACATCATGTGACTGCAATGTATACGCTCTTTCACATGATTCAGACTAAATAACGTTGTTATGCTGGTAACAGTACAAGCAGATTGAAAAGTTAAAAAGTCTTTCTTTTTGCAAAGGAATAACGCATTCAATCTAACTGGACTTACGAGCTACATCAGGTCCACATCAGATCATACTGCAAGATACGATATACCAATCAGCAATCATGATCTTTATTCCAGTTTCTACGTTCCTCTGTTGTTTTTTCACACTTGGTGGATCTCACAACACTGGTAAGCTTGTTTTTTTTAAAGCTACTTTCTTTTTTTTTGCTATCATCACTTCCTGAATAATTGGAAATTGTATAAATGGATATCACTGTAGCATAAAAAATGTGAAAGACGTATAGTAATTAAAAAGTACTTTCAAATGCATAACCTAAGTAACAAATTCCTATTACTCTGGCTGTTTCTATGGAAATGATTAATTTCACAATACATATTACTTTCTACGGTATGTTTTTTACATCTTACTTTAAAAGTCTAAAATGTTCTTTGTGCCCTTTTCTTATACATATCTTTTTTCTGAAAATAAGATTTTTGAAATGACCTCAATAGCCGAAAACATTAGCAAGACATATAGTATTAGTATTAATATTTTAAGTCAATTTACAAGTTTACAAGTACACAAAAATCAGTTAAATTGAAAAATTGAAAGATTGGACGAATGTAGGGGTTATATCAAAGTCATTAATTTAAAATCACTACCATGACAAGCCAACAGAGCACTTTACAATTACCATTAAACACAGTTTCTCTAACTATCAGAATGAAGATAATAATAAAACAGTAGACATTCACTACTAGACAATTTTTAAATTATATGAAGAAAGATGATGATTATATAATCGTCAACATCTCCTATTAGATACAATTGTTCAAACCAACAGAAGGAAATTTATCATACAACAGCTGCCATTCACTACTAGACACACTTTTTAAGCCAACAGAAGGAAGATGACCATTCATACAACAGTTGACATTTACTACTAGACACAGATGCCTTGAAAGATAGTGTCTGGTAGTAAATGTCGAATAATGTATGATCATCATCCTTCTGTTGGCTTGAAAACCAGAAGGAAAATGATCATACAAACAACAGTTGACATTTACTACTAGACACTATCTTTCAAGGCAACAGAAGGAAAATGATCATACAAACAACAGTCGACATTCACTACCAGACATAATGTTTAAGCCAACGGAAAGAATATAATCAAACAACAGTCGACACTCATTACTAGACACAATTTAAAGCAACAGAAGGATGATGATCATACAAACAACTGTTGACAATGACTACTAGATTCAATTTTTTAAACCGACAGAAAGAAGATGATTCTACAACAGTCAACATTCACCACTAGGCACAATTTATAACCAACAGAAGGTTTGTTTATTTGTAGCAATGCATAAAGCTACACAATGCGCTATCTGTGATGTACCCACCTCAGGTATCGAAATCCGTATTTTAGCGTTATGAGCCTTCGTACTTACCGCTATGCCACTTTGAAACCATCAGAAGGAAGATGACCCTATAGCAGTCGACATTCACTACTAGACACAATCCTTCAAACCATCAGAAAGAAGATGATCAGACAACTTTCGACATTCACTAGACGCAATTTGTCAAAACATCACAAGAAAAAATGTCATATAAGAGCTTAATGACTTTGATAGCCGCAATTTCTACGCATTTAGAAGATAATATAATGAGTGACGATCGGCTGTGAACTTCAAATACGATATTCATATCATTTATAGGGAAAAAGACATGTAATAGTTATTTTAATGATCAAATATTATTTCTTTAGATTAAAAGACTAAATGATTTACAGGTTAATGTATATCAGCCTACAATTAGCATTAGATCTACTCTTTTTTTGGATTTTTTTATATTTTATATTGTTTTTTTTTCAAGTTTTTTTTGTGTAAAATGACCTAATTTGTTAACATTATGAAATCCGTAGAGTATTTTGATTTTTGGTTGATTTTTTAAAAATATCGACTTTATTATGTAAGAAACACTTCTAGATATATTCGAAGGTCTTGCAAGTTGAAAGAGGATTCGCCTAGTTATTGTAAACCATTGTTATTATATTTTTCACGCTATAAGGTGTAAATTGAACATAACAAGTCACTCATAAATTGTAGCAATTTTTCCATTTTTTTCAGACAAAATATTTTAAATGTGGGTTCTTTTGCTTTCACCAAGTGTTATTTTTCTTTTTAAAATTGGTTGTCATGGCGTGTTGGTTGGGGTGCTCAACTCCAAATTTGAGAGTCATGGGTTCGAATCCCATTACCGAAAACAAACTCGTCCTCTAAGCAGTGGAAGTGTTATACTGAGATAGTCAGTTCCACTATTCGATTAGACTAATTCAAGTAAGTCTAATCTATCACTTATAAATTACGTACGGCTGGTACAGGAAGCTCACGGTTAGTTTTGGGCGAAATCCAACAAAAACAAATATTTTACAAAGTTTTGTTACATGAAACATCATATTCTATACAGTATATAGTGATTTAACTGTCGTTATAAAAAGTTATTTAAAACAATTGAACAAGTAAAGCGACGATTTTTGTTTTCTCCAATACTTTTGTAGCTACTAAAGAAATGGCTAACTAGTTATAGAAGTGTGACATTTAAAAAAAAGTGATTTTCATCAGTAAGCAAGAGTATTATGGATCAAGAAGAACAATATGTGGTTATATATTTTAAACTCCTGAGTGAAGCCATAAACGGGCCTTCTAAACGCTCATAATTTAATCCATATTTTAAACTCCTGAGTGAAGCCGTAAACGGGCCTTCTAAACGCTCACCATTTAATCCATATTTTAAACTCCTGAGTGAAGCCATAAACGGGCCTTCTAAACGCTCATAATTTAATCCATATTTTAAACTCCTGAGTGAAGCCATAAACGGGCCTTCTAAACGCTCACAATTTAATCCAAGTTCATTCAAATGATTTGTGTAAAGTTATCCTTCTCTAAGGAACGTGGATGTGTGCTTTTTTTACTAATTACATAAATTGTTTAGACCTTTAGAGTAAAGACAATGGTTGTTTATTAAAAAGATCTTAAGACAATCTGAATGATTTTAATGAATATTGAGCGAACATATCGAAAGTTAATGTCTTTTCTTTAAATGTTATCTTAAAAGGAAATTAATATCTAGAAAAAGTTTTTAAAGTTGTAACGAAGTTGTGTAAATAAAGTAGACGTTACGCTTCAGTGATTTTCATGAAATAATAAAAACAAAAAGAGTGTTGTTGTTAACTGATAAATTTTGCTTACTCTGTGTGTTTTTAATTAAAAAATCCAAGGAGTATTAGTGGCAAAGCAAGTGATATGAAACTTTTCATATAAGATAAGACAAAGTTGCACATTTGGCTATTAGCGCTGTACGAACCGCAGAGATCGAGCCCCGAATTTTAGTTTCATAAGCCCTCAAGCTTACCACTGAGCTATCAGGGGAAAATGAAAGTGCAGTTACAATAAAAAAAAGTTGTACTTAAAGACTGATGAGTTCTGGTATTGAACGAAAGGCTTATTGGGCAATAACTTGTGGGAGACGAAAGATAGATCTGAAATGCTATTTTTATGCATCTCTGATTTCGATCCGCATTGGACAATTTAAGAGGAATATGGATAAAAAAAAACACCTGCAGTTAACTTGTTTTTATGAAAAATTTAGGCCAATTGGTTTTCCAATATTTCACCAGCTTTTGGTATTTAAGCCGTAACTTTTAAAGGCTGAGATGTATTAGTAGTTGTGAATAAAGAAATTTCTTTTTAACTTTAGTTGCTGGATTGAAGAAGAAAAGGAGAATGATTTCTTGAAAAAAAATACGCATCTTGTGTTAAAGCGATGTGTGTTAAGTACTTTAATACTCATACGTAGAGGCCGCATGGCCAGGTGGTTAGGGCGCTCGAGGGTCGCGGGTTCGAATCCCTGTCACACCAAACATGCTCGCCCTTTCAGCCGTGGAGGCGTTATAATGTGACGGTCAATCCCACTATTCGTTGGTAAAATAGTAGCCCAAGAGTTGGTTGTGGGTGGTTATGACTAGATGCCTTCCTTCTAGTCTTACACTGCTAAATTAGGGACGGCTAGTGCAGATAACCCTCGTGTAGCTTTGCGCAAAATTCTGAAACAAACTCATACGTAGTCTTATTTAGATCAAATGGGTTTTAATAGTTTCGTTGATTTCACGTCAGCGTACCAAAGCGTTCAAAGTGTACTACTTCAAACAAGTTAGACATATTAATTAACAAAATAAATAATCTGTGTTCTTTAATTTACATTATCTCTTACACAACCTATTAGACTCTGGATTTTATCTGTAAACAGTCAGATGATTTTACATATTAAAAAAAAAATTTAACTTCAAATAATGGTGAACTATTTGTTTTGTAAATATGTTACTTTACGAATTGCTATTCTAAGTAATCGTATTATAAGTTGTTGAACTAATGCTTTTTAAACATTATGAAGAATTTATTTTGAACATTAACGTAGTAATTGAAATTAAATAACGAAGAATAGATACAATAACCTCTCAAGTTAGTTAATTAGTTAATATAATACAAAACAACCATTTTGATATATAGTAATGCACATAATTTAATTTAGACTATTTTTTGGCTTTTTTTTACAGATCCTCTCGTTGGAAATGCCAACAATTTTATAGACATACTGATTGCAAACATCAAAGGAGAGCTTGCTGATAATCTTAACCCTTACCATTTACCGGAGAAATCTATCAACTTTGAGCAAGAAATTTTCCAGTTGCCTTTGCGAGGACAAGCCAGCCTATACGATGGACATCTGATAGGGTTGAATACTTTACACAGAGCTGGTGATTGCACTATCCTGAAGAATGGTAACACCGTGAACATTACAGTCAGCTTAGGAATGGGGGTCATGATAGGCTCCTACAAGGGTTCGGTAACTTTTATGGGTCGCGGACCTAGAGTTGACATTATTGGCAGACTAGGTTATGCTTCTGTTAAAATGGACGTTATCCATGATTCTCTTTTGGGTGAAAATCGTTTACAGGCTTTTAACTTAGAACAACTAAACGGCCTAACGATCAATATTAAAGGCCTTGGTCCACTAAGTTTTGTCGTGAATAAATTGTCCTCAGCTATCCTCACTCTCTTTGAAGGATTGGTTAAAGATGTCGTAGAATGGACGTTGAAGCCCATAGTCGAAACCAAAGTTAGGAATTATGATTTATCTTTCTTGGATTGAGTTATTTACTATCAGAATAATAAATTAGTTATGCATTTTTATCGTTAACTCAAATAGTTGTATTGGAATAACTCAATTTCATATGAGATAGATATTATGTGAGTGATCCTAGTATTATGAAGCAGTTTGTGAGTACGACACTTTAAATTGTATATGTTTTTTATTGAATCTCGAATAAAACATTCATATTTCCCCCAAAGTGTAATTTTATAGTTCACAAATAGCTTTATATCATATGATAATTTCTTTTAACTGCTTGTTAGTCTGGGTATTCATTTATCGTATGCTAACTTGAAAAACTTAATTTTTCTTGAATAAGTCACATTTACCACTTCGTATAGTCATAATTCAAAATTCAAAATTTCTAGAAAAATTTGTCTTTTACAACTAGTATCGCCTACGTATGGATTAGACAACAAATATATTTAACTAACAAAACTTTTATAGAAATAAGCAAAAACGATATTGAGCAGGATTCGATCCTCTTACTCTGTTTACAAGACAGGTGCGTTGATTAAATAATCTAACAGATTTGTTGAAATCTTCAATTCTTACCACATTTGTTGATGAGGATGTAATTTTGACAAGACTTTTGAATTGCTCTGTCCTTAACAACCAGTCAAGTGTATCATGTGAATTTCTCCCTATCTATCTGTTTACATTGAAGGAGTGGGGAGAAAACAACTCATCAAACATATCAACCATTCATTTTTCACCGTTTGCAGTCTAAGAATCACTGGAGCAGTGCTTTCCTAGTTGCATCTGATACAAGCAGGTTTTAAACTGCCACACAACAGTTTTATTTGTAATGTGCTTCACTTGGTAAAGTTGAAGTTAGCCGAATCCTAAAAAATGTTGTTGAAAAAAACCTCAGGCACTTGAGACACACTATAACGTTTAAAATTCTTATCAACCACCTTTTCTTCAGTTATTCACCTATGGTTTTGACAAGACTTTTCTCAGTGAAGAATGTAGTATCTTTAAATTGCCATTGGTAGCAGATTTTAATAGCTGAACAAAGAAACAGTCTTTGATAAAGATACTCCTATTAGAAGGGCATATTCTCTCATACCCTTTTAAAAGTCAAATATCCTTGTTGTTATCCATTGTCTTGATGATTAACCCTGACATGATTGCATATCTGCTTATGTATAGGACTCAAGCAATCACCTGATATATCATATCACCAGTCTATTTTTATCATGTCAACAAATCAGGGGTTGCTAGAACATATATGAGTAGAGAGGATCCTTATGTTTGTGGTCAGTAATTGTAGATTGAGATGGGCCTAATAAGATATGTTGAAACTAGTTCATTGGAATTGTATTGGTTTCACTTTCCTATTTCTACGTTTACAATTGTGTCTAATAAACTATCTGTATTATATAAATTATTTAAAAATAAAGAAAAAAGGCTTCTTTAAAACAGTAATCAATAAACAGTGGGATTTGTATCTTCACTAATTTAGTTAAAGAAGCTTCTGTTTAAGTTAAACTGCAACAGATAGGCTATAAGTGATATACCACTTATTACAACTGACCATCAGTACCATTATATGACAATATATGCCTATTATAACCCCACAACAACTGGAGATGTGTGACATGATCTCCAACATGCAACTAACATCATCATTTTAAACTAGACAATTTGGAAAGGCTTCACAGGTTCAACCTACATGTTTGATGGCTGTTGCAGATGCCATATTTTCTGCCACAACACCAATCACGATGGATTTTCACTTACCAGGAACGACTGCATCAAAATTGTAGTATCATTTCGTTTTCTGATGAATGCAGAATTGAACTTTCATCAAAACATAACAAGTTACATTCCTAGCGGGCGCCTAATGATAATTCTAGACTGAAGACTAAGCAAAAGTTCAACCCTTTTTCTGGAGGAACAGCCATTTTTCGGAGGGCTGTGTGTGCACGAGATATCATGTATGGCTCACACACTTCACTATTTTAAGTTGAGGTTCACTTGGATGTTCAGGTTTCTGTGGGCAGGATTATCCTTCCATTGTGCATGTACAGGGAGGTGCAGTTGGAAATAATTTCATTTTTGTGCACGATAATTCCAATCATGGCACAACAGCAGACTATTTTGGCTTCATTGCGATAGAACATGTCTTAACGTATCATCCAGAATCTGATTCTAGCAAGCAATCCAAGAATCTGATTACCAACACGACAATCAGAACACAACGATGGATAACATTCACTTACTATTTTCTGTTTCTCTCACGTCTGACTATTTGCCACAAATCAACAAAATTTCTCTCTCACGGCCAGCTTCCATCAGTATATATGTTGTAATGTTGAATGAGCTTTCCAATAAAGTTCTGTAACTACTAAATACTTAGAAGTTTACAGGTATGACTTTTAGAGATAATGGAAGATTTATATATATATACATATATTTAAACAACAAATGTATATAATTGTAACATTTCTTCTCACTTCAGATTTATCTTATTGCACAGTAATTGCTTTCATCTTCAGTTTTTCGACTACTTCATTAAATTTTCCTACTTTTATGACATTTTTACACTGTTTATATTCTTCCTTTGAAGATATTTCAAGCGATTTGATATTCCCCATTGATGCCATAGTCATAAATTTAATATAGGCTATGACGTTGTATAACTCATATGTAAACTATCATATATTTTATGGAAACTTTACAAACTGGGCTAAACCCCAACTATTAAAAATGTTGTGGTGTTGTTGTCCTTTGATCAAGGATCTTTTTGTTGCTTTAGAGGTTCATAAAGTTGCTAGGGAGAAAAGAAAATATCACTGAAATAAAATGTACTCATGGTTCACAAGTGAAAGGCCAATGTTTTGTCATTGGACAACTTCTTATTTAGCTTTTAAGGAAACAAGACTGCAAATTATAAAATAAAAAGTCTCACATTTTTTCAAGCTCACTTACTCACAGAATAACAAAATCATTAAGGAATATTTATTGAAATATTAAGGATAGTTTCTGAGAGAAACTCAGTGCATAAAGAAGATCTAAAAGAAATGCCTGAATGAGCTAAGATGAAAAAAAGGCGAAGAAGAAATAGAGAGAGAGAGAAACTTTAACACGAGCATCCTTTAACTATTAGACACTGTTGTAGTAATATGCTACAATATACCAAACTATTAGACACTGTTGTAGTAATATGCTACAATATACCAAACTATTAGACACTGTTGTAGTAATATGCTACAATATACCAAACTATTAGACACTGTTGTAGTAATATGCTACAATATACCAAAATACAATGACCATGAGGTTATGCAAATGTAATGTTATAGTTGTAATCATTTTATAGCTTAGAAAATGAATACATCTTTAGTCAGATATTCTTTTTAAATTTTAGATGTTCTTCAGGAATAGGATGTACCCAGCTGCGAATTATGCTTGACTCCGATCTTAGGCGGTCATGATTAGAAATCCAGAAAAATCTGATTCCCCGCTTTTGATAATGAGATTAGTTTTCAGAAATGGCTGGCATGACACCTGAAGAAGTTTTTCACTTAAAGTTTTCTCCAACGAAAGACAGATCTTGAGTAAAACTTTTTATAATAGAATTGTCTTGGTGAACTCTCAATATCGTTATGCCTACCCAGTTACTGTAAAAAAATAATAAAGAAACCAACCAGTTTACAAAAGAATACAGACAGTTACTTGTTTCCCCTTTTGTTAATAAAGTTAATTTTTTGTTTCAAAAAGTAGTAAATATGCCCAATGTTTTTCGTTAGAATTTATTGTTTTAAGAACCCTCTGTTTTGTAGCCTTAATTGATTTACCATTTGTTTTCGACTAGTCGTTTCTGTATACTGTTTAAGTTCACAAAAGCTTATTTGTGTCAAATATTTGTCCCAGTAGAGAACCAAACTATATGCAGAGTTGGGTTCAGAACCAGAAAGAAATAATTCTGTAAAAACTTAGCCATTTATACAGATAACCTGCAATTCTTATGTTGGAAAGTACATTCCAATAGGGCATTAGTAGATTGTAATAAAATCCCTATCGATAAAACTATTAAATCTTTTGGCCCCCGAGTGTATATCAGGGGCAGTCCGCCATGGACAGAAACCATTGCCATGGCAACAAGGGTTAAAGTGGCCACTTAAAACACGTTTCTGAAGACGAGAAAGCTGATAGTTGTGGCTACAGTGGCTGAAACTCATCCGAAACACAAGGCATTTCTGTGCATCTTCACTGGTAACCAATGGTCAGGGCTTTTACAGATTACGGTCACGTTTTTATAATGTTTGTTAAGTTAAACAGATTTCCAATATTAACTAACAAAAAAAATTCATTTCCAAAAGAATGACAAATATTAAAATGAATATTTTTTTCTTTAAAACTGGTTTCGCAGTTTCAGAGGCTACTATTGAGTTAGTTTATTGCTCTTGAAAGGATAAACATAAATCACTTTCAGACTAATGACATACACTATAAAAACTTATATTACCTAATTACATAGGCAGTTTGTGGTCATTATATCACCTAACTTCACCAATTATTCCTTTTTAGTTATTAATATCCTACATGCGACTGTTTTTTTCGATGGTTTGTTTGAATGATTGAATTCTTCATTCTTATTGTTTGTCTAATTATGTACTGTTTGTTTGTCTAGTTACGCTGTTTACTCGTTGTTTGTTTTATAGTGCACAATAATACCTTCGTTTACATATTAGGCTTTCAATCCTGATGAGGGCTACAGATTTCAACATTCTACATGAACTCAGAAAACAGAGAACTGTTCACCAGATAAAACTAATATGTTTATTTCTGAACAGAAAACAAACATCTTTTAGTTTTAGACAAAGACTGAATTGCACACGTTACCAAACAATTATTATTATGAAGCTATATACTAAATATTGTACAGCTTTATCTATATATCTCTTACCTAGAGAGAGATAATTCACAATTACGTCATATGATGGTTAGCCTTGAGTTGCTAAGGCGCAGATCCGTATTATATGATCATGTCATAAGCATTTTTTTTTATCCAAATGACGTATTCCCACCACTGATAAAATTATCTGAGTTTAAATATAAACGAAGGAGGATGCTGTGTCCTGGATCGTTGAAGACAAGCTGCCAGGTATGGAAACACCGCTCTTTTCATTTCATAAAACAATAATTAACGTTACATTAAAATTAGATATTACATGGCAAAATTATCTATTTAGTACTTGATTCAGGAATCACATTCCCATTTAGGATAATGCTAGAATAAGACTGAAAACTTGCTATTAAAGAGCGATATAGTTCACACTTCAAGTATTACATTTTGTGATTAGTTCATATAGTACTAAAAGTTTCACATTTGTGACTGTTAAGTGCGGTATATAAACAAAGTTCATTGGCTGAGCAAAGTAAATACATATATACTGTGCTCAACCATAATTCCAGGATAATTAACACTTTGTTATTAAATTTGATAAGTGACTCAACAAAGTTATTGTGAAAGACATTCTTTAATAAGGTTCTAGTGGAATACCAAACAGAAAAAGAGACGTTTAAATGTTATTTTTTTTGTAATTTTCACTAATTGCCAAACTCATTCCGTTTCAATTGCTTAAATCGAATTATAACTTCCAATATAATGTTTATAAATTGAAGATATATAATGTGTAGTCTCAATATTTTTATGAAAACATTTCAAGAGTGCGGGAGAACCAAGATGGCTTCATCGGGATACTTGGCTGCCCTCTTTATTTTGCTGTCAGTGATAATTACTCAGGCAAGAGGTAAGTGACAAGTAGAAACAACAACAAAAAATCAACTTACAGTTTAATTTGGGCGTCAGTACAAATTGGTCTAGTATTAGAATAAAAGAAAGAGTTCACTATAGTATTTTTAAGAATTACAATCACTTTCAACATAGAAGTCCACCCTCCAAAGTGTATTCCGATCCATTATTTGATGAAGAAGTAACCTAACTCATTCGTAATTTTGTGATATTTATAAACTTTTCTTACTTTAAATTATGAGCTAAGTTATCTCATATGAATACCAATTATTTTTTCACTGAGCATAATTAAGTGAAACTAGGAAAACTTAAGTTAATGGTATCATTAATGTGCTAATATCCCTCCTGTCTGTAAAAGCAATGATTAGTGTACTAATATTTTCTAACTGATTATGTATTTACAAATGTTACTTTTCCGTGGTAGAAAATGTTGTCTTATTTGATAATGTATTTACAAATGTTACTTTTCCGTGGTAGAAAATGCTGTCTTATTTGATAATGTATTTACAAATGTTACTTTTCCGTGGTAGAAAATGCTGTCTTGATAATGTATTTATAGATGTTACTTTTCCGTGGTAGAAAATGCAGTCTTATTTGATAATGTATTTACAGGTGTTATGTTTCCGTGGTAGAAAATGCTGTCTTGATAATGTATTTATAGATGTCACCTTTTCTTGGAAGAACATACAGTCTTGCTTGATAACGTATTTATAGATGCTACCTTTTCTTGGAAGAACATACAGTCTTGCTTGATAACGTATTTACAAAACTTTAGCCAGAATAATGCAGAAGAATTAAAGTGATGATCAAATGCTTTTTTTTTTAGAAATATATTTGGAACAAAAATCTCCAATAATTGTTTGTTTGTTAAGCACAAAGCTACACAATGGTTTGTCTGTGGCCACTACAGGTATTGAAACCCTATTTTTTAGCGCTATAAACCTTCAAACTTACCGATGATTCACTGGGGAGGGAATGGGGGCTCCAATTAATGTGATTACGTGATTGGCATTACACGGAAGACATGAAAGTTGATATCAATAGTGTAGATTCCTATGCTAAGTGGTGTAAATGGGATAATTGACCTAGGCCTAGACGTAAGGCCCATCAAAAATATAGTTTTATAGAAAACTGAAACTCAAATGTACAAAAAAGAAAACGGTAAAACAAAATTTAATAATGAAGAATACTATCAATAATACAATAAGGGTTTTTAACTTCACGCTTTATATTTACTGAGCAAATCTATAATTTCTCGGTTAGAGCTGGCTTAAGGCTATCCATTACATAATAAGAACTAAGTTTTAAAAATATTGTAGCCAGTGCATATGATTTACGTGGTTACAGAATTAATAATGAATCTTTTCTCATGAAAATAGTAATGAAATACAATGTAATAAACAGAATTACAACAATTGAAAAATATTTTAACACAAATTAAAATCATGTTTGGTCGGACGGAGATTCGAATCCGCGACCCGCAGATTGCGAGTCGAGCACCCTAACCACCTGGTCATGCCGGCCCCAGTCGCTTGAAAGAACGCTAGCGTTGCTTGACTTATGCCGCTTTTAACACATAAAAACATGGTTGGTTAAATTTTTGTAAGTTCTAGCACCATCAAGATTTGAATTCACACAATGGATAAAATAAACTTTGAACTCCTTTCCTTGAAGTTGACTTATCTTTAGATATACAATAATCCGTGACTTTAACATGTTCACTGCTGCAGTTATTAAAAAAAATATTCTAAAGTGAGTGTTAAAAACGAATATAATATGAAGGAGGATAAACTTAAAATTCTAAAACTTTGAAAAATAAATGAGTTTTTGACATTAGACGACAAGGAAATACCCTAGGAATAAGGGAAGGAAAAGAAATCAATGCATACCTATGCAGTGGTGCAGTTAATTACGATTGTTTCAGTACGTTTATGTTTTAGGTTGGAAATCTTTGTTCTGGTGAACAGTATTTTTAACTTCGCTCTCTTTCTCAGTCCCACTGCAGAAACGCCAGACTGGAAATGCTAACGACTACATTGATAAGGTATTGGAAAACGCCAGAAAACATTTTCGGGAGAACAATATGGACCCCCTGCCACTTCCAGAGGCCTTTGAAGGATTTTCGAAGAAGATTTTGTTCGTTACATTATCTGGTGATGTCAAGGCATGGGACGGCTTTGTGCAAGGCTTGTCCCGGTTGAACCGAGCTGGCGATATCACTCTCAGATATGAAGGTGGAACCATTTTCCTGTCGGGGTCGCTTGGAATTGATAAATTATCAGCGGGTTACACTGCACGAGCTAGACTTGGAAAACTTGCCCCAACCATCAAAGTTCAAGCGTGGATCGCATACATTAGTGTCTCTCTTGGAGTCCAGATCCCGTCTGACGGCAGTCCTGGATACGTAAACCACTTGGATATCCACAATATTGGGAAGATCGACATAAAAATCGACGGTCTTATTCCATTGAACTACTTACTTACAGCAATCAGCTTCGTCTTTTTGAACATCTTCAAGAATGTCCTAAAGAAGGCTTTCATACCACCCATAACCAACGCCATCAACGGCGCTCTTCGGCAAATTGACATGCCATTTGGTTTTTTGTAAACTTTTAATAATATTTACTCTTCGGCAGAGAGACATGTCATTTTGTTTTCTGTAAACATGTAATAATTTTCCAATGTTTGTCCTTACAAAGGTAGTTTAATAAACTATATATTTCTTGTAACTGTAATACACTTTCCACCCTCTGCTCTTTTAACCGACAATAAAAACTTTTCCTGAGAGCATAACATCTTGTATTTTACTCAATCTATCTATATCTCGTTTGTTACGTTTAACAATAATGTTGAAATTTAAAGGACTTTGCATTAGTAAACGACCAACTTGAACATATCTAGACAAACATAATATACTGACCTTCGTTCGTAATTGCTCGAACGTTTTTTGGCAGGAACAAATAATGACATAAATAGTAAAAGAAGACGTGAAAGCCCGAAACGTCTCTCAGTTATTAACCATCAATATTTTATTCTATAACTCCTATGCAATTTCTTAAAACCGATACAATTCAATATATGTATATAAAGGACAAACTGATGATTTCTTGCTTGAAACTATAATTATTCCCACAGTTCTTGTAATTATTGTCAAAAATTAAATTCTGATAACGTTTTTCTTGTATGATAATGGCAATAATAACTTATTTGAATGGCGTTTCTTAAGGAAAATAAGTCGTTAATACCATCTGAACACGCCCTAACAATATCATATTAATATTCAGGACAGTGTAACGAAAATCATTGACACGTGATAGTTTGGAGAGAGCATTTCGGATTGTTAGTGGGGATAACGAGCTGCGTTACAATTCTAAACGTAGACACATGATTGTCTGGAAAGGATGTTTCGAATTATTAGTCTTGATAAATATCTACGTTAATAATTTGAATCACCTACACCTGATAGTCTGGAGAAGAGGTTTCAGATTACTAGTGCAGATAAAGATGTGCATTAACAATTCGAACCATCTATAAGTGATAGTCTGGAGAGAACGTTCCGGATTGCTGATGAAGATAAAGATATGCGTTACAGTTGGAAACATCCGCACGTAATACTGTGAAGAGGACGTTTCGGATTGCAAGTGGAGATAAATTGTGCATTACAATTCGGAACACCCGACACATGACAGTGATAATCTGGAGAGAACATTTCGGGTTAGTTGTCTTGGTGAATATCTACTTTAACAATTCGAATAATCTACACGTGATAATCTGGAGAGGACATTTCGGGTTAGTTGTCTTGGTGAAGATCTACTTTAACAATTCGAATAATCTGCACGTGATAATCTGGAGAGGACATTTCGGGTTAGTTGTCTTGGTGAAGATCTACTTTAACAATTCGAATAATCTGCACGTGATAATCTGGAGAGGATATTTTGGATTTCTAATGTAGATATTGGCCAAAACCTGATAAAAAAGAATCGCAACGTCAACACGAAATCATCACAAATTGAGAGAGATTATTAATCTGTTCATTACAACTGAATAAACTTCAGTAACAACAAAGTACTATAAAAGTATCGTTTTGAAATATACTCAGAAGAATATAAAGACTAAATCAAATATTTAATTTATAAATACATTACATGTTTTGAATACCATAACAAGTGAAAAAATGTAGAATTAAAAGAACGAATGCCGATACTGCGTCTATAACTCTTCTACGTACTAAGGTCACAAAAACCTAAATTCTGCACAGATATTCGGATGCATGAAATATAAACTGAAAAGTAAAATCAGTTTATAAACTCTTGAAAACAATTTCACATCTAACTCTCACTCTTGAAGAAAATAATTCATACAGTTTTGCTTTTTCTTATCAGACTATAGCTCTATTAACATCTAACATATTCTTAACGAATGTAATTCATACAGTTTCATTTTAATATTATCAGCGCTGACTGTGGTTTACATCACATCTAGCACACATTCTTGAAGCAAGTAATTCCTACAGTTTTGTTTTGATCTTTTAAGAGCTGTCTGTTGCTCTGTTCACATTGAACACACACACTCTTGAAGCAAGTAATTCCTACAACTTAGTTTTGAATTTACCAGAGCTGACTATGGCCCTATTCATATTTAACACACACTCTTGAAGAAAGTCATTCATAAACTTTTGTTTTGATATTATCAAAGCTGACTGTGGCTCTATTCACATTTATCACACACACTCTTGAAGCAAATAAATTATACTTTTTTTTCTTTTGATATTATCAGAACTGGCTGTGTCTCTATTAACATCTACCACACACACACGCTTGAAGCAAGTAATTCATAGTTTTATTTTGACCTTATCGGAGGTGACTGTGGCTCTATTCATATCTAACATAAACACATACACTCTCGAAGAAAGTAATGCATAGAGCTCCATTTGGATTTTATAATAGTGTACTGTGGATTTCTGTACATCTAACACACACTCTTGAAGCAATTAATTTAAACAGTTTTATTTTAATCTCATCAGACCCGACTGTGGCTCTATTCACTTTTAACACATAGAAACTTGAAGCAAGTAATTCATATAGTTATATTTTTATCTCACTAGAGCCGACATAACTAACACAAACTCATCAAGCGACTAAATCATATAGTTTAGTTTTGATTTTATCACATGTGATTGTGGCTCTCTTCACATTTATCACACACACGCAACCGAAGCAAGGAGTACATACAACTTAGGTTTGACCTTATCAAAGTTGACCATGGCTCTATTCACTTCCAGCACACTGCGTTAAAGCAAGTAATTCACACAGTTTTATTTTCATCTCATCTGTCTCGACTATGACTATTTTCATATCTAGCGGACACACTTGAAGCATCTAATTCCTCAAGTTTTATTTTGGTCTTATTAGTATTGACTGGGGTTCTCTTCATATCTAGCACAGACACTCTTGAAGCATGTGTATCGTCAGATTTGATTTTATGGAAGCCGAATCTGACTCTCTTCAAATCTATCATACACACTCCTGGAGAAAGTAATTCATACAGCTTAGCTTTGATCTAATCAGAGGCGACTGTGGCTCTTTTCACATCGAGGAAACATTCTTGAAGCAAGTAATTTATACAGTTTTATTTTGATCTGATCAGAGCTGACCGTAGTTCTGTTTACATCTATCACACACATTCTTGAAGCAAGTAACTTATACTGTTTTATTTTGATCTGATCAGAGCTGATCGTAGTTCTGTTTACATCTATCACACACATTCTTGAAGCAAGTAATTCATAGACTTTCGTCGTTTTGATCCTATCAAATCCGACTGTGGATCTCATCAAATTTATCACACACATTTTTGAAGGAAGTAACTTATACAATTTTATTTTGATCTGATCAGAGCTGACCGTAGTTCTGTTTACATCTATCACACACATTCTTGAAGCAAGTAATTCATAGACTTTCGTCGTTTTGATCCTATCAAATCCGACTGTGGATCTCATCAAATTTATCACACACATTCTTGAAGGAAGTAATTTATACAGTTTTATTTTGATCTGATCAGAGCTGACCGTAGTTCTGTTTACATCTATCACACACATTCTTGAAGCAAGTAATTCATAGACTTTCGTCGTTTTGATCCTATCAGATCCGACTGTGGATCTCATCAAATTTATTACATACATTCTTGAAGGAAGTAACTTATACAGTTTTATTTTGATCTTATAAGAGGCGGCTATTCATATCTAACACTAACATACACGCCCTCGAATATAGTGCACAAACACTCTCTTGAAGGAAGCATCTGATACAGTTTTATTTCGATCTCGTTAGAGGCGGTTTTGGCTTTTTTGACATCTAACACAAAATCTTGAATCAAATAATTCATAAATGTAGCTATCTTCACATCTAACAAAAACTTTTGAAGCAAGTTATTCATACAATTTTGTTTTCATCTGATCAGAGTTGACTGTGTCTATACTCAGATTTAATAGGCACACAGAAACTTGAAGAAATTAATTCATACATTTCCAATTTGACCTTATCGGAGCTGACTGTGGCTTTCATAATATCTAGTACACACTTTTAAAGCAAGTAATTCACACAGTTTAGTTTGATCTTATCAGAGATGACTGTGGTTCTCGTAATATCTAGCATACACTCTTGAAGCAAGTAATTCATACAGTTTAAATTTGATCTTATGAGAGTTGAAGGTGGCTCTATTCACATGTGGCACACACACACACACACCCTTCTCTCTTTCGAAGAAAGTAATTCGTACACTTCCATTTTGATCTTATCAGAAACGACTGTGGCTCTATTCACATGTGGCACACACACACTCTCTCTCTCTCTTTCGAAGAAAGTAATTCGTACTCTCCCATTTTGATCTTATCAGAAACGACTGTGGCTCTATTCACATCTAGCACACTGTCTTGAACCAAGTAATTCATGGCTTTATTTTGATCTTATAAGAGCCGACTGTGGTTCTCAATTCACATCCAAGACACACATCCTTGAAGCAAGTAATTCATATAGTTTTATTTTGATCTAATCAAAGGCGTCTGAGGCTTTAAATACGCACACTCTCGAAGAAAGTAATTCATAGAGTTCCATTATGATTTCATCAGAGCCGGCTATGACTCTTGTCACATCTAGCACGCAGTATTAAATCATGTAATTCACACAGTTTTATTTTGATCTAATCACAGCTAACAGTGGCTCTATTCATATCTAGTAAACACACTCTTGAATGAGATAATTCATATAGTTTAGTTTTATCTAACACCCACATTCTTGAAACAAGTAGTTCATACAATATTATTTTGATTTTATCAGAGGCTTCTGTGGCTTTATTCACATCTAACACACACACACACACAAAGAAATTAATTCACACAGTTCAATTTTGATTTTATCAGAGATGACTGTGGCTCTCTTTTCATCTAGCACAAAATCTTGAAGTAAGTAATTCCTACAGTTTGATTTTGATATCATCAGAGCTGACTGTGGCTGTATTCACATCTATCACTCATACTCTTTTAAGCACGCAATTCATACAACTTATTTTGGATCTTATCAGAGCTGACTGTGGTTTTGTTCACATTTAATACACACACACACTCTTGAAGTAATCACTTCATACAGTTTCGTTCTCACCTTTAAAGCTAAAATAACGGCAGATCCTAAGTTTCTGAAGAAATAAATAGAAATGTAGCTAAGTAAATATACATTATGAAAAATTTTACCGCATTGGAAAGATTTGCAGTGTGTACACATTCCTCCTTAGGAGAATAAATGTACACGTTGTAAATTTTTTCATAAGTTTTACTTCTTTATTTAATGAAAAAAACAACAATATTCTTCACAATAATAAGTATTTCTTTATTACTTATCAGTCTTAAATCAAATATATAGCTATCATTTTGCTATTATTATAAATCATTGGTATTTATTGCAGGGAAAATGTTATTGAGAACTTCTAACGAGCTATAAGTATATAAAATACTTAAAATAATATAAACATTAATGAAGACATTTTTTCCTAGCAAAGTGACTACAGATATTGAACATTATTTTGCATGGTAACATTACTCAGCCCTTTGCAAGGATATAACGTTTTTCAAAATGGGTAATTCTCCGTTTATTTATGTTTTATAATTATTACAGTTTTTTAGAAGAATAAAAATATTTAATTTGCAATACTGGAGTCTTTCTTTAATTTCTACTCCACACTTACTTTATCAACTTTTTCTCTGCTTCAATACAGCCTTGTTTTAGACTTTCTCTGGACCTAGTTAACTGATAGCTCGACTCACAGTAGCATAATCTCCTAGAATGTATTTGATTTATTATGTATGAAACGATTGTTCACTGATGACTGATGTTTATTAATTTGTATTTTTAAATTTGTAAGTTTGAAAACTAATAAAGTGGGCATGTTTCCTGTTGCTACTCAACAGGTATATATATATACTTTATACTGGATAAAAAGGTTTAAACTTCTGTTATTTCTTTTGATGTATGCAAAGTGACTGAATGCTGGTCAAACACCAAGTGTGTTTGTCTCAGCTGCTGTACGTCCGGTTGGAGTAAGATCATATTATTGTATCAACATTACTCCTGATACAATTTTTCAAGATGCACAAATTCCCACACGATCAGAGATAAGAAAAGTTTTCAGATACAAGCAACAAGGAGATTACGAATTCAAGATCATGAGACACAAATTTCATAGAGAACGTCCATGACTTTGCCTATATAGGTGCTTACTGAGGTATGTATCTTTAGCGAATAAAGCACAAATAATGTAAGTATAAACAAAATAACAAACTTAATTTTATCCACCTTTCCTTTTGTTTTTTTTACTTTTTAGAGAATTATGTAATATTTTGACGCCATAAATGATATTATTATCTTATTAATATAGGAAAAGTAGGCAGTCTAGGAGTCCTGTTTATTATCACATCTCGCTTTAAACATGCTTCATGTGAAACTTCTAGGCAGTCTAGGAGTCCTGTTTATTATCACATCTCGCTTTAAACATGCTTCATGTGAAACTTCTAGGCAGTCTAGGAGTCCTGTTTATTATCACATCTCGCTTTAAACATGCTTCATGTGAAACTTCTAGGCAGTCTAGGAGTCCTGTTTATTATCACATCTCGCTTTAAACATGCTTCATGTGAAACTTCTAGGCAGTCTTGGAGTCCTGTTTATTATCACATCTCGCTTTAAACATGCTTCATGTGAAACTTCTAATTATGGATTTTAAGTTCTGGAGATAATTTGTTATAAAAATATCAAATATAAAAGGACCGAATTATGTCCCAAAAGTACATACAGATTATTCTAAAAGGCTTACCATGTAAAAAACATATATTTAATTTTCAATATACAAATTATACTACTGTCATTTATTTAGTTTTCAGTTTCCTGAGAGAAACTTTAGTTTTACGTGAAGAAATAGCTGTAACAGAAGTTTCACAGCCGGGGAGCTTATAGAACTACCTAGTGTCTATCAAGTAATCACAAAACTATATAGTGGGAAGCTAATAGAACCGCCTAGTGTCTGTCAAATAATCACAAAACTATACAGTGGGAAGCTAATAGAACGGCCTAGTGTCTGTCAAGTAATCACAGAATACCTACAGTGGTAAGCTAATAGAACCGATAAAGTCTGTCAAGTAATCACAGAATGCCTACAGTACTTTGTACATTCTGTGATTACTTGACAGACACTAGGCGGTTCTATTAGCTTACCGGGGAGCTAATGGAACCGATAAAGTCTGCCCAGCAATCCCAGACGTTTTACAGTAGAAAGCTAATAAAATCGATAGGGTCTATCAAGCAATTATAAAAGTTTTTCAGTGGAATGTTAATTAGATTAATGCAAAGCACTACGTTTAGTTACAGGACAAACTTTTTATTCATATGTCGTTCAAACAAAACATGACAGTCATTCTTCTTTTCTGTTCGTTTTCTTGTGATAAATCCTGTATTTATTCATACACACAAACAAAATAATGAATGATATTAATTTTCACTTGCTAGGTATAATTGAACTTTCATTTCTTTAACTTTCCTTGCTTATTTCTCAAATCGACCCTGGCTTTTGTATTAAAATGTAACGAAAAACTCTGCATATAAATAATTAGCGAGAAGTTAAGAAGTGTCCAATAATAGTTGATTATATCTCGGATAGTTAAGTGTATCTTGATGACTTTATTATATATTTTGTCATTGTAATTTTTATTGAAATATATCTCCCCTTATCAGGTTAGAATAGCAATGAGCATACTACCTCATACAGGGTTAGTTTTTACCTTCCTTTCTCTATCAGGTAGGTTTCTTTTTCTACAATATATAAATTATATTAAGTGAGAGTTTTAGATTAATGATTTTTTCCATAAGGTGTTTAAGTTTTAGAAGTAATCTTCATCTTAAGATGTAACAATGTTTTGGACACAATCTGGAAAATTCTGAAAATAATTGCTCATGGAAATACAGATAATTACCTTCTTCTTTAGAAATTGACAAAATGAGGAAACAAAAGAATAACTGGTACATTTTCTTGTTGTGTATACATAAAAGTCTCATGTTTTAGTATATTTTTCTATATTCTGTCTAATTTTGAACATCAATGTAAGTTTCTTACTTTGTTCATTGCTATTAAATATTTCTACCAACTTAATCAATCTCAGCAACTTAATATAATGAATTACGTACGTAACGAAATGTTATATAAATTCTAATTGTACAGCAGGTATCAATGGCTTCATCCTCCGTAGTGGTGGGGACCCAGATTTTGAGGCCTACCTGCGCGAGGTACTTGAGAATTTTCGGAATACAATGGAATACGGAATTCCGCCGATAGGTGTCCCACCACTAGATCCGCTGACTCTTCGTAACATCGATATAAATGTAAAAGAAGACGTCGCTGATGTTGAATTGAAATTTTACGAAGTAAGTTTACAGAAAAAAAGTATTTCAATGAGTTACAGTCGCAGTTGGTATTGTTATTGCTACTCCATATATATGTCAGAGCGATATTTTAAGAGGAACGAAAAAAATTAAAACGCCTTTTTTATATTTAATATGTGTATAATACTACGTTCAGTTTATTAATGAAAAATAACTGAAACTCGCTATACATCTTCCATCTCTGGTAATTTAATCCTAATTTGTATAATGATCATAATAAGGCTAGAATAAAAAAATACACTTTTCCATTAAAATTCAATATCCATACACAATAAAAACCATTAACAGTAATAAAACCTTATATTGAAGTAAAATAACAAAAACTAATAGTAATAAAACCTTATATTGAAGTAAAATAACAAAAACTAATAATTTTAAAACCTTATATTGAAGTAAAATAACAAAAACTAATAATTTTAAAACCTTATATTGAAGTAAAATAACAAAAACTAATAATTTTAAAATTGATTTATTTTGCATGTAATTTTGATATTACACGTTTACCAAAAATAAGTTGTTAAGCAATACTTATCTCTCTTAACTACCTTGAAATTGTAATGAACAAATTTTCCAGTGTACAATTTTATAACGTTACAAAACATTTCGGTGGGACTGTACTATAAGAAAGCTATTAAAGTTTAAAATATGTGTGCCTTTTTTGTATTTCGGAACTTGTTTTTTATTATCAAGCTTTCAAACAATCTTTAAAGAAATGTAATTGAACAAAGCTCTGATTTTGCTTAAACATGTTAATTTGCTATGAAAAATTCAACTTTGGCTAGTACAAGCTTAACTGCCAGTGGCACAGCGGTATGTCTCTGGACTTACAACGCTAGAATCCGGATTTCGATACCCGTGGTGGGCAGAGCACAGATGGCCCATTGTGTAGCGTTGTGCTTCATTACAAACAAGCTTAACTTCTTCGATTTGTCTTGTAAATCACAACAGTGTCAAATAACCCGTGTTATATAACTTACTTGTTGGAGTTGGAATAGCACACTGGATTCATCATATAAAGAGTTAATCGCATGTTATATTTAGTTCTCGGTAAGTTCTTAACTAATCAACTTATTGAGGGTAAATTGCATATGTCACAGCATTTTCCGAATATGGATATTCCTATAACAATATTGTCAAAACATGCATAGGCAAAGAACAATATTTTGAAGGATAGAGTCTTCTTAAGGAACAACAGAGAGCTTTAAAACCACACTGCACATCAATCCAGAGCAAAGTCTTCATCACGAAAGTGAAAGTTATGATTAAGAAAGAGAATCACCGCTACCCGACCAAAAAAACTCTTACAATCAATCTGGCCATGTCTACTTGTATCGTTAACGAGATAATAAATAATTATTTGAAGCTCCATAAACATTCATACCATATCTCAGAAAACAGCTAAAGAAATGCCAATTACAGCATATGTATCAAGTCCCCATGCATCTCTAAGGTATGCCAGAACGTGATCTTGGAAGATGACATTCACGTTCAGTGGAGGGTCTGTGCGAAGTTTATCAAGGTATGTAATCTAAGAAGGATGTCACAATGGAAGCTACGATGCTATACAATAGTCTGCGATCATTGACATTCGACAAAAGACAATCAACAATGAATCAAGTTGTTCCAAGGGCAGCAGTAGACCTGGAACGTGGTTCGTAAAGGATCCAATTATCCCTCAGCAAACAAAATGTAAACTATACTGACTAACGGCTGGTTATATTTAAAACAGAGAGATTGTCTCCGAAATAGTATGTATTTTCATATCAATAACACTCAGTTGCATCTGGTTTATAACAATTTTGAACAATTGTTTAAATTTCTAAGTTGCGCATGAAAACAATAAACAATGTGAATTAAATTAAAACGACTTAAGCATTAAATATTGGAATACTTAAAACGCAAAGTAATTAGATAAAACAAAATAATTGAAAGCTATACATTTCATTGGATGTGAAGATACACCGATAAAAGTGTCTACTACATAAAAATAGGACGAAACCTAGAAGTTTCGTGTGTTGAACACTAAAAATTAGTAATGTCTTCAACGACTGAGGGTGCGGTAGCAACTGTTGCATCGCTGGTCTACTGATATAAAATTCAATCTTTTTAACTAAATACTTAAATTACATTTTTGTTCTTCACTTTAATACTAACGTTTCCTTTTTCAAATGTTTTTAGAAATCCAATTACTAAGTTTTCAGTGAAGAGTTTTGTTCTCTATAATCTTTAATAACTGGTGACATCTGACTTTAAATATGACAGAGTTAGTGTTAGATGCTGCGCAGCGAAACATCCAAGACTGATCTTAATATCACGATTGTAGCTTGTTGACTTTTCTGATTTTTAAAGGCATTTATCGGTTTGCTTCTGAGCTAGCCCCATACGTTTTAAGAAAACAATGATATACAATAAATATCGAAACATCTATCAGTTGGAAATAATGCAACATGGCGTTAATCTCTTTTTAATAGAAAAGAAAAATAACATTTTTGAAAACTGCATGTTATTTCCAACTTTTAAGAATAGTAACTTAGAATTCAATGTATTCAATGATTTTCATTAATTTTCACAGCTAAAAATCGAAGGACTTTCAAAATTCGTCGTCGATAAAATGGAATCCAACTTAGCCAGCTACTACGCAAATATTGGACTTTCTCTACCTCATCTGGTGGTGACTGGTCAGTATTATTTGGCTGGAAAGGTGATCGGTATATTCCCCCTGAAAGGAGAAGGAGACTATCAGATAATTGCAGAAGGTATCCACATCGGTGGTATGGGACAGCTAGCTTTCAACGGACAAGATCTACAGTTTGATAAGCTGAATCTAGGGCTAAGCTGGAATGAACTGAAAGTTAATCTAGAAAATTTTCTTGGTGGTGGACAGTGGTCAAAGCTAATCCAAGTGCTACTTCCTGCTATAGGCAAAGGCATCTTTGATCGCTTCAAACCCAAGGTCATGGAACTCCTCAACAAAGCTCTGATGAACAAGGTGAATGAAGAGCTTCGAAAGCCGGAAGTCAAGGAAATAATTAAAGGAATTTTCCCAGACAGATTTCTTAACAACCTGAAAACTTAAGTGTGGATAATCCTGAAAAGCTTGTATCGATATTGCTATGATGTTAATGTAATTAAATAAGTTTATCAATAATTATATATACCTTCAAAGTGCAATAATATTACAACTTAAGCAGTGTTACACCAAAGATGAATCAAAAACTTGTAAATGTATTCACAGAGGAGTTTCAGAACATAAATAAAGCATATTTTCTGTCGCATGCTTCATTTTCTAGCTTTTAATTTAAGATTAGAAAGGTTTAAGATCTTCAAAGCCTTGAGTAAGAAACATAGGAAAATGACTTACTTTACTTAAGATCTAAATTAATGTAAAAATGTTAACATATAAATTAAAAAACAAAAGTAAAAGTTTCCCTATAATGTCGTATTCGTATTTATGTTTAATGTCTTTTTTAATATAAACATTCTATATTTGAAATTTGTTTTTTCTCCCTCTTTATACATTTTTTACAGTTACCTACTGCAAATTCAGTCAACTTATTCAAATAAAATTTACATAGTAGAGAAGAACAACCGTATCTATTAGTTTATCCTAGGATTACTTATGGAGTCCATCGACCATTTACATAAATTTTTCTAAAAGATTTATTCACCATACATGCTTGTGGGCCTAGGACTTTATTGGTTACAAGATTCTTTATAACATACTAGTCACACACAAAAAACACGTATCGATATTACAGTTAATTCTACTAATTACTTCTGGGATTCGCTGTGTATTTTATTTAGAAAATTTAGAAATTTCTCTGCTCTTTAACACTGAGTGCTACAACAGGTAAAACATAAGGTTACTCAATGTGACGTAAACTCTAGTCCTTACAAGTAGTGAACAGTATGTTAAACAAGTCGGTAGTTTGAGGGTTAAATGAAAATTAAAACCACATTTTTGAAACAAACTATATTCTATCAAAGCCAAAGACTTGTACAAGGATACTCATTTCAACACATTTCGTGTTGAATTCTTTTAACCTTTGATCGAATTTAACTTTACACTAGTCTGCTACAGCTGTCAGGCAGATTTCCATTGACAACGTTAATATTATGATTTTCCTATACATTGTCCTCCTGCTGCTGTCAAGGCAGCTTACTTGATTTAGCTTGTTTGACACTATATCCCAGGTTCTGCTATAATGTTTCCACGATCAATGACTTGGTTATTCATAGTCTTCCTATCATGGAGCCATGACAGTAATGAATGTAAGGTTGAGCTATGCAGTGTCAACTGAAGTGGCTCAAATCCATCTTACAATAGATCTTTTGTTAAGTGTCAGAATGAAAACAAAGCTTAATGAGTAAAAATATTAGAAAACATCGCACATAAACTTGTATCTCCTGTTGATCAGAAGAGCTGTGCTTCTGTAGTAAATTCAACAATAATTATAATCAGTTTATATAATCTTGTTGGTTTGTACTTAAAACAGATATTTATACCACCATTTGAGAGTTTTTAATGTACAAGGACAAGTTGTGTTGTGGTGTTTTCGTGAAGAGTAATTTTGCTTGCAAGTCAGCTTACTCCCCCATGCCTATCCTACTTACTAAACAACTAGAGGCTGTTGCCATAGACGTATTTACTAGCCAGACCAACCAGGCTTTCATTATACCATCAAGAAGTTGTTATCAACATTTTTTATCTCATGAGTCCTTAATGGACATATTGCACCTGGAATGGTGGAAATATTCGTGGGAGAAGTAAATCTACAGAACTTTTACTATCTCATCATGACCTCTTTCTTTCTTTGATACAGGAGAACACACTTATTTTCCATGCTATTAGTCAGTCGTTTATGGCTATATATATAACCACTTGTTCACCTGTTAAAACAATAATCCATATAATAATAATTGTCCTATCATTCTGAGTGAAATGGCTGTGGACAGTGTCATCTTGACATAGTTAACTTAACATCTCTTAACCCTTTCCGTACCAGTGAGCACCTTTCAGGTTTTGTGTTCACATTTGCATATATAATTTCAAAATCTAAGCAAAAATAATAATTCGAACTCCATTTCAACACAACCTTTACTCAGAAATATTTTAGAATAGTATTTTGTCATTTCATAGTATCCATTTAATATTATTCACAAAGTAAAATATAAAAAAATGTTCAAACATTTCCGTGTAACTCCAAGGAGTTTTGTCATTAAACAATGTACTTATAAGTTGTTTTAGAAGTTGTCTGCCTAGCCCAAAGCATAAGTTTATATTTGCTAAGAAACTGTCATCCCTTGAGAATATAATTATCAATGTTTTATTTTTTCAAGTGATTTTTCTTTCCCTGAGTTTTGTTAGTAGAATATCTTGGTTCCCACCATTATATGACCTCACAGCAGGTGAATTTGTTTGTTTTGTTTTATTATGGATTTCGCACAAAGCTACATGAGAGCTATCTGCGCTAGCCGTCCCTAATTTAGCAGTGTAAGACTAGAGTCTTACACTGACTTGAGCTAGTCATCACCACCCACCACCAACTCTTGGGCTACTCTTTTACCAACGAATTGACCACACATTATAGCGCCCCCACGGCTGACAGGGCGAGCATGTTTGGTGTGACGGAGATTCGAACCCGCGAATGTCCTAACAACCTGGCCATGCCGGGCCCCAGCAGGTGAATAAACTCAGTTTTCAAAATACCCATCGAGAAAGTTTAATTAACACTAGACCACCGTGACCCGTTGGGTCAACCACTATTCAGAGGTTATAAAAAATTCAAGCTTATTTCAATCTTGCACATGAAGGTTTATTTTGAGATAATTTAATTAAATATTTCAATCCATTCGTGTTATTCATAATTCAAGAAAATATATTTGATTGTTGATCGGGAGTAAAAGTAAAGACCATGTCATTTTTCAAAAAAGTGAAGTCAGAGTTTCAGGTATTGTGATGAATTAGTTAGGAAAGACCACAACATAATGCTTAAACCTTCTACAAATAAGAAACAGTAACACTTTATTTTTCTTCGAATTACCTACCATAACCAAGGCACATTATTGAGAAATTCTTCAAGATCTTGTTTTTGTCATATTACGCCTTTTAATGAAGATGGGAACATTGACAGGGAAATAGATTTAAACGAAGACATTTCGTAAAGAGAGCGAACGGTAGTGTGATGTAAAATTACTCATGCTAGAAATTTTCATAAAAGTGACTCGAAAAACGGCGCTAACTCGGTAACCTGTGGCTCGATTTTAACGAAACTTGTTTTATTCTGTTTCTGTTCTCATTTCATTACAAATATGGCACTATTGTGCGCCGTTTTTACTGTATTTAATTATAGACAAGCAAACAAACAAACAGTCTCAGAGTTTTAGTAGTATATAGATAAAATACATGCAAGAACTAAAACAACAAGTAACTTATAGTATTGAATTGATACTTATACTATGCAACAATAAATTAAATTGTAATACTGGTGTAGTACTTGTAACAACTGGTGATTGTATAACTGTGATCCAACATTTACTTCAATTTATTTCACTTTATAATTGTAAGATATTTTACAGGGTGTTGTTGTTCAATAAGTTTGGGATTACTTTTAATATTGTTTATTTACATCTACCGATTTATCTGGGGACGTCGTATTTTTAATTTGCTAGTTCCCGTTTGGTGTGTGTTTTGTATTTAGTGATATCGATCGTCATATAGACTTGAGTATCGTATTGTGATAATATAGCTGAATTTATCCTATAAACCAATATAATCTACACCCTGTTCAGAGAATTGTGTAACTGACTAAGGGTACTTTTTCTTGCACAACAGGATATCACGGGAGAGGAGGGTACCTAACTGTAGAAACGCCACCATATTCTTCTCCATTAGGTTACGCTTTTGTTGAATCAGGAAAGATGTTAGGGTATCCAACTATAGACTTGAATGGACCTATTCAAACTGGTTAAGTATATTAATATATAACTGCTCAGGTTTTCATCAGATTGTGTTGTTTATTTCACATTTTTAAATCAAATCTACTGAAATACTGAATAAATTTGCTTTTGAATATTCGTAAATTTTAAAAGGAATTTCAAAAATTAGATGTTTAGTAATAGTCCACGTACTTTGTATTCAGTGTTGCTTTTGTCCAATTATGCCTATAAATTTGAATGTGTCTGTTTTGATTTGTTAGATTTTATTCTTTTTTTTTCACTATAGCTTTAATTAGTTAAGAATGGCATGTAATGCTTGGAGACGGCTTGAATGAGTAATGAAAAAAAATCTTTAATATAAGTTTAACATAACAGCAAATGTAAAGTTTTTCTTCATTACCCATTCAAGCCGTCTCCAAGCATTATTAGCCTCAAAGTGGGTTCCTCGTCATCGAATAGGAATGACATGTATCTCATATGTAATAAACTGTAACGTTTTGTTTTCGTTTGACATCTCTGTCTAAATAAGTCAAATTACTGAAGACATTAAAGTTCTCTAAAAACATTAAAGATATATTCTATTAAGTCACCTTACATTTTTTGTGGGACTGTTCTTTACTCTTCTTAACGAAATAATATCAAATATCTTTTTTTTCCCTCAGGGTTTTCGATTCCACAAGGAACTATTCGGAATGGTGCCCGTTGCAGCACGTCAAAAGCTTTTCTTCAGTCAGCAAAGGATAGACCAAACCTAGATATTTTGACTTTTGCTTTTGCCACCAAGGTAATATCTGACAAACTATTGGTTTATATTTTCGTAAAAGTCACTTGCTGAGAAAAACTATTTAACGCTTTAAACCCTTTTGTTGCAACGGATCTTATAAATTATCCATTTCAGGTGTATTAGGGTTTTACTTTTATAATATAATAACCTCTTCGTTTCTGTTTTCATCTTTTGTAATAGATTCTTTAAAGATGTATCTAGTTTAGTTTGTATTATTTTACACATTGAAGAGGAATTTCTCCTATCTGGAGTGCCCCGGTGCACAGCGGAATGTCTGCGGACTTACAATGCTAGAATCCGGGTTTCGATATCCGTGGTGGGCAGAGCACAGATAGCCCATTGTATAGCTTTATGCTTAATTACAAAACAAACAAACAAACCTATTCGTAGTAGACTATAATTTAAAATAATTGGGCTAAAAATTTAAAAAAACTTAATAGCGCTAATAATAGTATTCTGAACGTAAAAGTGAGTT